CTATTGACCCTTTGAATTCAAAGATTCTATTTAAGAGTTTAATATATAAGGCTTTCTTTGATTCCTCCTCAGTTCTACTTAGTTTCACAGAGAAAACATTTGTTTGAATAAGTGAACAAAGGCTCAAGATAAAATAAAATAATCAAAATGAATTTCTAATCTTTATTTATATGATAAATTTCTGAGTAACTTGTACTAGCCAGCTTTGTATGATTACAATCCTTTGCATGTCTTAAGATTTGCTTTGTAGCCCATTATATTGGCATTAATGGGCACATTCCCTGTGTAGTAGGAGAAAAGTTAGTAGCATCTAATTGGTGGGTTCATGTTTTTATATATATCAAGTAAATTCAGCTCCTTAATTATGTTTTCAAATATTTATTTTCTCACCATTATTCAAACTGTTTGGTCCAGCAATTATTGTAATAATTAGATAAAAGCTACTATTCTTAATTTGCCATTTTTTTCTTAAAGTTTTGACAATTTTTGTTTATATACTACATAAATGTTTTATTTTTCTTTTTAAACATTCATTGAATAAAGTCTACTTATAACTATTTGTCTTATTATTGGCTTTATATTCCTTGTGCTTTTTCTATACTCCTATTGTCAACATCTCCCACCTGCTGTCAAATAATTATAACAATACATGACACTTGTTTATTTGTTATCTCACTTTTAAGTTTAGTACTTTATGCACCCCCAGTCACTCCATTAACCCCTACACATATACCAAAATACAAGTTTCTTAAGAGAAACATCTTGTCTGTTTATTCATCACTATACACTGGGTATGTAGATACTGCCTAATCACAGTATTCAATAATTATGCATTAGCTGATTGGTTTTGAGTATAATAAAAAGGTCTTTTATGTTTTTAAACCAAGTTATAATTAAAATAATTGAATAACAATATTGTTGAAATGTAAGTAACTTTAGAGATGTATTCTGGCCCTGCATTTTATAAATGATAACTTGGCTTGGAAATAGTTACTTACATCTGCAAGTTGGCAGACTTATAAATATGACCTGATTAAAAATAAAGAAGCAAAGGCAACTTTTAGCAAGTCTATGTAGATACAGCTAAGTACTACTGTAAATTTGTGTTCAGTAAGACATTTCCAGGCATCACTATGATAAAAGACAACAAGACCCAATGATATTTCACTGCCAATTGAAAGGTAGATGATGCTAATTGATTACAACTTTATTTCTCATGGAAACTAGACATGATCTTTCAATTATTTTTTAAGTAACATTTCGGGTAGTTATTGCTAAAGCCGAGTAATTAAACAATTGAGATAAAATCTAGTTGCCATTAACTCAGCACAATTTCTCAGTTTGATCAATTTCCATGTCCCATTAATACCAAAAACTTAAGATTTATGCTGCTGTAGGAAAAGAACGAAAAATGTGAATTTTTTAAAAAGTTGATATTAATTATTCAGTATGTACTTACTCTAAGTCAGAAGTCCTCAAACTTTTAAAACAGCGGGCCAGTACACTGTCCCTCAGACCATTGGAGAGGCAAACTATAGTTAAAAAAAAGGAATTTGTTCATAGTTTTTTTTTTTTTAAACTATAGTCTGTACTCTTCAGACAAGACAGGACACAGGGAAACAGCAGGCCCAGACTGCACTGGGTGGACAGCACCACATGCACTTGGGAGAGGATGTGGCATTGGAGGGTGATGTGGAATGTCCCTTGATGGTTTAGGGCGTGGCCGAGGCAAGGGTCAGCGGGGAGTTTGTGTGCCCAATTTTAGACGCGGCCGTCCATTTTCCATAATATTAAATTGTACTGTGAGAGGGGCCGAGATGAGCATCTCCTGAGCTGTCTGAGAGTTGGCCAGGGATCCCATCTGGTGCTGCCCCAACCAGATACACTCCACTCCCTTGTTGTTTCCTCCAGCCCAATGGCGACACCACCCATGTCATCCCCCCACCTCCGAAAAGGGAGTGCGGGACACAGAGTCACTGGGTCATTGGTCCCAAACGGAACACAAAGCAATCCCTGGAATTCACCACGTCATCATCAGGAGCATCAATGAGATGCAAACATGAAACACAAGATGAATAAGGATCACACCTGGGTGGACACCGTCTTTCTGGTAGGTAGCTCCAACCCAGCAACCACACTGTCTGCAGCCTCCACTGCTCTCCTGGTAACATCCTATGGCGCCAGAGATGACAACTTCCTTCCCCAGCCACCGCTTGCCCGCCATGCTCTTGCTCTTTCTCATTCTGTGAGAGTGTGTTCGCCCCTGACCCCTGTGTGTGTGTGTGTGTGTGTGTGTTTGTGTGTGTGTGTGAGAGAGAGAGTGTGAGTGTGTGTGTATGCCCGCAAATGCTCACAGGCTTGTACCGACTCTCTCCATGAACCCGCACCAGGAATCTCCACGAAACTTCTCCCAGGACTGTGCTCAGTGGGCTTGGCAGTGGGTCTTTAGGGTGTAGCGCTTGGCGCCTCTTCCCTCCAGTCTCTGCTGCTCGGGAGACCTGGTGTAGCAATTACTGCACACTTCGCACTCCTCCACCCCTCGAATTTTATCAATAACTCTGTGCACTGTCTTTGTGTATGTTTGGCATTTCTGAGTCAAACATTCTATGTGAGTTTGCACGGCAAGTCTGACACGGATTTGGGGTAGGGCGCTAGCATGTGGGATTGGTGTCTGTCTGTCTGTATGTCATGTCATGTGCATGATGGGTGCACACTGATATGTGCCTTTTTTCGTGTGGATCCTGTGCTGCTGTCTGTAGGCATTGTTCTCAGATCAATGTTGGTGTGTACATTCCTGCCACGTGTGTGCAATTCCTGTAGCATGTTTTTCGGGTCTGTGTGTGTGTGTGTGTGTGTGTGTGTGTGTGTGTGTGTAATTTGCAACAGTGTCACTTGATTGCAGCGGGAAGATTGAAAGAGAATACAGCTAGCTAGTACTGTTCACTTCCTGGTGACTACTTGACTACTTTTACTTTTCTTTCTTTCTTTCTTTCTTTCTTTTTTTGAGTTGGAATCTCGCTCTGTCACCCAGACTGGAGAACACTGTTCACTCCCGACCACTGCAGTCTCAACCTGCTTGGCACCTGCAAACCTTCCGCCTCGGTCTTTCAAGTAGCTGGAACTACTGGCGCGCACTACTACACCCAACTAATTTATTTAAATTTTATTGTAGAGATGAGGTCTCACCAAGTTGCCCAGGTGGGTCTCGAACCCGCGGGCTCAGGCAATCAGCTCACCTCAGACTTCCACAGTGCTGTGATTCCAGGCTGAACCACCGAGCCCAGGTACTTATACTTTTCTTAAACCTTTGGAGCTTTCGATTTAATCTTGGAAATAATGGTTCTGGACTATTGCTGGGTGGCAGAAGGTTGTTAGCGGCTTTCTTTTGATGCTAGCATCTATGTGAATAATTCTTTTGTTTTCCATATTCTTCCTTTAAAGGACAGGTGTAAATGGATTTTTTTTAAAAAAGGATATATCTATATACTGTGCCTCAGGAATGAAAACTTTATTTTTTTTTATTTTTTATTTTTTTTTAGTAGAATCTTTTTTATTCAGAAAAAAAAAAAAACCCAAAAAACAAAAAAGTTTTCCAACCACACACAGGAAGGGTATGGGTAGGGGGAGGTGTCTGTCCATCCAGCCCCTGCCCCCAGCCCATGTGGTTTTGGCAGCAATAAGGGGTGTGGGGTAATGGCCCAAAAAATAAAAATGGTATATGTGTGTACGGGAAGGGGTGCAAAAGCTGTGGGAGTGGTGGGAAAGGGACAGACGAGGTCAGTACTCGGAACGCCGCAGGTGGGAGGCCATTTCATAACATTTCTTGTTGATCAAACCGCCATGGACACCTTCTTTGCCCATCAGCAGGACTAGCGTCTTGGCAGTCATGGTGACAGTGACATTGAAGGTGGGGGCTCCGCCGGTGCTCTTGGTACGAAGATCCATAGTAAATTCCCCATCCTGCAGCAGTGAGTCCCGGATCACAGAACATTTCTGGCCCCCAAGTGTCAGCCCATTCACGAAGAAACTTGACCGGTCTTTGCCAACCAGGACACCAACCTCAGCTGGCGTGATGTTGACGAAGGTTTTTCCGGGGACGGCGGCCCAGACGGAGGGCGAGTCCTTATAGCCCACGATGGCCGCGTCCTGACAGGTCCCGTCCGCCATGAGGTTGTCGATGTAGGCGTTCCACCCGGCCATGGCGCTGCTATTGGGGCTGCTCTCGGCGCTGCTGCTGGGGCCGCGGGCTGGGCTCGGGCTGCCTCGGGCTGGCGGGCGGGGTGAGGCGGAGAGCTCGGGGCACGCGCTGCCGTCCGGACCGCAGCTCTGCTAGCTGTGCAGCAGCCCTCGCACCGCCACTTCCTCTGAAAACTTTATATTTGGAGAACGGTCTTTCAGGGTTTTGGTTGCATGAATTAAATATTTATTCAGCAACTTACTCTCTGTTGTAAATTGGCCAAAAGGAACCTGACTGCACACAGAGAGTGTGTGTGGCTGGGTGTGTGTGTCAGGGGGTGGACTGGGATGTGTTTTGGGTTTCACTTTATAAAGATTGTTTGACTGTAAGTGTAGTCATGTCTAAAAGCATTGGAGTAACTACATTATGCTCAAGCAGAACATTTGTCAAAAGTGATCATCAGAGTTGGCCTGAAGTGCCCTGCTCTGGTATGTGTCTGAATTCTAGCAAGGATTTTAGATAATTGGGCCTATTGCCCAGTGAAGAAATGACAAAAGGCCTTTTTGTCATTTGGAGTCAGTGATAGCTGGAGTGGGCAGGCTCTTTACATCTTCTCTTCAGTTCATCATGGGATAAGTTATCCTGGTGAGACGGCACCAGGAATCTCCGTGAAACTTCTCCCAGGACTGTGCTCAGTGGGCTTGGCAGTGGATCTTCAGGGTGAAGCGCTTGGTGCCTCTTTCCTCCAGTCTCTGCTGCTCTGGAGACCTGGGTGTAGCAATTACCGCGCACTTCCCATTCCTCCACCCCTCGAATTTTCTCAATAACTTTGTGCACTGTCTTTGTGTATGTTCGGCATTTCTGAGTCAAACATTCTATGTGAGTTTGCACAGTGTGTCCAATAGGGATTTGGGGTAGGGGCGCATGCATGTGTGACTGGGTGCCTGCTTCTGTGTGTCACGTCGTGTGCATGATGGGTGCACACTGATATGTGTCTTTTTTGGTGTGGATCCTGTGCTGCTACCTGTAGGCATTGTTCTCGGCTCAATGTTGGTGTGTACATTCCTGCCACGTGTGTGCAATTCCTAGAGCATGTTTATCGGCTGTGTGTATGTGTGTGTGTGTGTGTGTTTGTGTGTGTGTCTGCTAGGGGAAATTACGACAGTGTCACTTGATTGCAGCGGCAACATTGAAAGAGAGTACAGCTAGCTAGTACTTTTGGCTTCCTGGTCAGTTCTACTTGACTACTTTTCTTTTCTTTCTTTCTTTCTTTTTTTTTTTTGAGTTGGAGTCTCGCTATCTCACCCAGACTGGAGGGCACTGGTCGCTCCCGACCACTGCAGCCTCAACCTGCTTGGCATTGGCAATCCTTCCGCCTCAGCCTTCCAAGTAGCTGGAACTTTGGGCTCGAGCTACCCCACCCAACTCATTTATTTAAATTTTATTGTAGAGATGAGGTCTCACTAAGTTGCCCAGGCGGATCTCAAACCCGTGGGCTCAGGCAGTCAGCTCACCTCAGCCTCCCAAAGTGCTGGGATTACAGGCTGAGCCACCGAGCATGGGTACTTTTACTTTTCTTAAAACTTTGGAGCTTCCAATTTAATCATGGAAATAATGTTTCTAGAGTAATGCTGGGTGGCAGAAGGTTGTAAGTGGCTTTCGTTTGATACAGGCTTATGTGTGAATAATTCTTTTGTTTTCCATTTCCTTCCTTTAAAGGACAGCTGTAAGTGAATTTTTTTAAAAGGATATATCTATATAGTGTGCCCCAGGAATGCAAAACTTTATATTTGGAGCTCGGTCTTTCAGGGTTTTGGTTGCATGAATTAAATATTTATTCAGCAACTTACTCTCTGTTGTAAATTGGCCAAAAGAAACCTGACTGCACACAGAGAGTGTGTGTGGCTGGGTGTGTGTGTCAGGGGGTGGACTGGGATGTGTTTTGGGTTTCACTTTATAAAGATTGTTTGACTGTAAGTGTAGTCATGTCTAAAAGCATTGGAGTAACTTCATTATGCTCAAGCAGAACATTTGTCAAAAGTGATCATCAGAGTTGGCCTGAAGGACCCTGCTCTAGTACGTGTCTGAATTCTACGCAAGGATTTTAGACAATTGGACCTATTGCCCAGTGAAGAAATGACAAAAGGCCTTTTTACTTTCAATGGAGTTAATGATAGCTGGAGTGGCCAGGCCCCTTTACATCCTCTCTTCATTTGATCGTGGGATAACTTATCATTTCTCACCTTATCTGTTATCCTGTTAATCACTAAATTTCTCTTTCTGTGGATGAATGAGCATGTGATAAATATTCTGCAATGAACTGCCTCTGGGAGAGGAAACTTTGTTGTGGAGAATGTGTGAGAAGTAAGCAGTAAGTGTTAAGCAAAGGTCAGATTGATGTTATCACTTACGTTTCCCTGGAGTGGAGACAATTACTCCTTGTTTGTTTGGCTATTAATCCAGAATTGTGTGGGGGTGTGCAAGTCTTCTGAAATGCATTATGCAGGCTCCTTAGAGTCCAAATCAAGTACGATGATAGAGTTTCAGTGTTAAACCAGGGAGCAACGAGTTGATTTATAAATATTTAAACATAAATAATGATTCATGAATTGCTATATCGGCCTGCAGAATTTTTTGGATAAATAACATCATCCTGATGGAATTTAAATACAGCTCTGTAGTCCATCAGTATATATTAATAATCTTTAAAGTACTAAGTTTCATGTGATCTCATATTTTATCTAATCAGGAAATATCTAGATTGATATAATTTGTAACTTCTAAG